CCTCTCTACCTGTTGCCCTTAGAGAGCTGCCCACTGTCACGGGCCTGCCGTGAGGGTAGCCCATGTCCAGTGAAGAGGCCATCCCAGGACAGAGGCCCAGCCCCCTGGGCTCAGGGCATCCCAGCTCCGGAACTTTCCACAGGATGGACTCTGTCCTGACTTCCCAGCAACCCGACTCCTCCTCTGCTCAGGGCCGCCCGCCTGCCTCCTGGGGGAGGACTGATGGGAAGAGGCCACATCCTCCCGCACACCACCGAGCAGCTCTGTCCGTTTCCCAGGAAACCCAACCTAGGACAATAGTGGCTGCGTTGCTGGAAGGACGTGATTGCTTTAATAAACACTAGCCACTTGCCACCCACCCGACAGGGAACAGTAAGGAGGAGGAGGAGGAGATGGCATTGTGGGGACAATGGGCCATCCTTGCTGTTAGATGTGTTTTCTTCAATAAGAACCCAGGTGGCCTTGCCCTAACAGGGGAGCCCACGCAGGAGAGTCAGAAGGCCTTGGCTTCAGTCAGAAGACTCCAAATCCTGGCAGTGCTTCAAGCTATGTGACCATGGACAAGTTATTTAACCTCTCTGAGCTTCACTTTAATTTAAAAAATGGGCCAAATTACCTTGCACAGTCGTTATGAAGAGAGATATGAGCTCAGGATTACAGAGGTGCCTGAATCCCAGAAGCTGCCCAATAAATTCTGGCTTCCTTCATAGGCCGGGGCAGGCTGGTGCCCTCCAGGTCAGAGGATGGGCTGTGCCACACCAGGTTTCCAGCGCAGGTGGACACACTGACCTGACTGGGGGCCTGGGCAGAGTGGGAGGGGTCACACACACACACACACACACACACACACCTGTGCCAGGCTGACAAGGTCTTTCCACTGCTCCATTCTCCCCAGGGGCCCTCAGAACAATGGGAAAGAGCAGGGACATTTTCCTGCACACTGTCTTCTCTGATCAGAGGTGGCTTTAGGAATTTTACAGCAGACCATCCACATGACCCAGTGAGGCTCCTTTTAGGGAGATAACTGCACGTGGCTTTACCAGCTAGAGCCCTGCTAGGCACAGAGTAGGTACTCAATAAACACAGAATGAATGACTAAATGCTCTTTGGTCCCCCACCCTACACAGACTCTAGCGAGGCCTAGAGGGAAGGGGGGGCATGTTTCCTGGGTATACTCTCTGAAGTGGCGGTATCACATCAGTCCAGAGCCCTGAAGAGGCCATCCCAGTACAAAGGCCCAGCCCCCTTGGCTCAGGGCATCCCAGTTCCAGAACTTTCCATGGGATGGACTCTGTTGTGACTTGTCCACTTGTCCAGTACCCCATCAAGTCACGCAATGCTCTGCTGCATCCAGGTGCCATTCTGTAATAGTAGGTAGGGGTCTGTAAACTGCGGCCCTCTTTGTGTAAATACAATTTTTTGTTTTTGTTGGTACCAGGGATTGAACCCAGAGGTGCTTTACCACTGAACCACGTTCCCAGTCAGTTCTTTATATATATATATATATATATATATTTTTTTTTTTTTTCACTTTAAGACAGGGTCTCACTAAGTTGCTTAGGGCCTCACCAAGTTGCTGAGGCTGGCCTTGAACTTATGATTCTCCTGCCTCAGCCTCCTGAGCTGCTGGGATCACATGCGTGCACCACTGTGTCCATCTGTAATTACAGTTTTAATGGACATAATCATGCCTATTTGTAAAAGTATGTCCTGTGTCTGCTTTTGTGGTACCATGGCAAGATGTGCAAAGTTGCAACAGAAATTGTATTTACTCTCTGGGACTTTTAGGAAAAATTGGCTGATCCTGGTTCTAAAGAAGCCAAATAAGACAAGAATCCTTGCCAAGAAGGTGATCGTTCCTTTCCCTGTTTGCAGACTAGACCCACTGGGCACCCTTTCCTCCCTGTGGGGGCTCTGCAAGCCCAAGCCATAGAAAGCCCTCAGTGATGTCAAAGCCAGTGAATCTGCAAACCTCTGCTCCCCGCCAGCAGCTGCGTGAAGCACCCTGATCCTCTCATGCACGCCTGTCAATAATACCACAGGGCAGGAACTCTATCAGCCCACTTTACAGTTGAGGAAACCGAGGCTCAGAGTGGGAAAATGACCCAAAGTAGGTGCTCAATAAATGCATACAGAATGAATGACTAAATGCTCTTTAGCAGGGATATGGCGGGATGGGAACTCAAGCCTGGGTCTGTTTTGAGTCCGGGCTGCTGGCCTTGGGCACCCCTTTCTGCTGCCTGCCCCCACACAGAAGGAAGAAGACTGACTTAAAGTCAGACACGACACACATTCTTTCAGGCCCAGCAAGGGGTTGCTGTTAGAACAATCCCCAGCCCAGTGCATCAAAAGGTGGGTCTCTGGCCAGGCTACCATGAGGACGCCATTCCTGAGGGTGGAGAATAAGCCCACTAGAAAGCCAGGCTGCACAGGAGCTCTGTTCAGCAGTGTGTAACCCGACATGTGGGAAATGGCACCCAGAGCACCCAGGGAACAGAGGATGGGCAACCGTCGAAACCCCCCAGGGAGGAGCAGACAGGCTCTGAGTTTGCATTTAAGCCCAAGAGACCCCCGTAGGTCTGTTCCATCTCCCCAGATAAACACATATTGCCTGACAAGCCACCCCCTCTGTCCTTCTGAATCAGAAGGATTAAGTATCCTTTAGAGAATTCTCTCCTTTAGGACCAAGAATAGGAGTTGATTCAATTTCACATTGTCAGGATGACAAAACTTTAGGGAAATAAGAGACAATGGGCCGGGGGGGTGGGGGGTGTGTGTGCTTGGAGCCACTAAAAAAGAACAAAATCGTTCCCTTTGTGCTTGAAATAAAGGGAGATTACATGTCAGGAAATTAATCCAGATCACAAAGCTGAACAGCCAACCTGCCCGGGCCACTTCCTGTGGACACAGGAAGAAAAGCCTCTGACCTGTTTTCTGGGAGTCTCTCCCCTGAGCCAGAGGCCACTAGTACATGAGGTGATGGGGGGAAAGAGACACCTGGTCACACGAGGGGTTCAGTGGCAAGGCTCACCCGAACGTGGCCACAAATGGGTTTTCACTGCCTGACATTCAGGAGCCGTGAGAGCCGGGGAAGCAGCCAGGGCCTCTGTGCGGGCCCTGACCTCTCCTCTGTGAGCAGATGAGCACCAGCATCCTCAGCCACGGGAACCACCCTGGGCCCTCACCATCCCTGTCTGAGGAAACCTTCCACCGCCAGGATTTCCGACCCACACCTGGCTCTTTTCTTTTTCATAGTTATCAGTAGCTGAAACTAACTAGTTTACTCTTTCAGCCAGAACTTGTGCTCCTCAGAATGAAGTTCACGTTGGCTCCCTACAGCCCTCTGTTCCAATGCCCAGCTCACGGTAGCCCCTCAGCGGGTATTTGAGAATCTTAACATCTTATTCACCAATAAGTGGAAGGATGCTCAAAATTTTTATAAAGGCTTTTTTTTTTTTATGTCCTGTTTTCACATTCGTTGGCTATGTGGTCGAAGGCATCCTGGTTTTGTTCATTTCATCCAACATAAGTTTATTCAGCCTCTGATCAAGTGCTGGGCAAGTACTTGGTGTCTAAGGTGGGAATCCAATGCCTGATCTCACAAGCTTTCTGTCTGATGCGGACAGTGTGTGAACAAATATCAATGAAGTAGCACCAGCAATGCATCATCACAACCGTGATCAATGCTGGAGGGAAAACACAGGCGTAGTTTCTTAGGAAGTAATGTTTGAGCTACTACCTAAAAGATGCATGAAGTAGGTGAGTTGACTAAATTGAATTTCTCAGGAATGAATAAGGGCAGAGTTAGGGTTGGGGTAAGGATTAGGGAAAGGGTAGGATAAGTTACTGAAGAACTTTCTAGAAAAAGGGACCAGCATGTACATGTGTTATAGGGGTCAGGTGGATGTTGATCAGAAGGGAGTCCATGGCTGCCTAAGATAGGGCGGAGACAAGAGAACAGGAGAAAAAAAACCAACTGAGGGTTATTTAGGCAGTAAAGTGGCAAGGGTCCTTCAAGACCCACTTGGTTGCTGGGACATTGACTTTGGCTTTCTTCTGGGCTGGGACGTGAGGGGTCCTCACAGCTCGCAACCTGATTTCCCAAGGTGGGAGCAGCCACCGAGCAGACTGTGTGCATGTGGCAGAGGGGATTGACAGAAGTGAAAGGGGCAGGCACAGGTGAGACGTGGTTCAGAAGTGGGCAGCATTTCAGAACCTGAATTTAGAACTCAGGTCTAGAGAATTCCTGGAGCCTCTGTATAGATTACTGTGGGCAGTCAGGAGTTTCTAGGAGCTCAAGATCACACCTATTAAGGAGATCAATTGTGTCCACATGAACCCATGATTAATAGGGAATCGCTTCTTTATATAGGCCTACCTGCAACCTTGTCTAAACAAGGAACAATTGTCCCCGAACCGGAGCACCATGTTTTATCCTCTCCTCTTCATCAAAGAATGACTCCAAAGAAAGGGGGGAAATAATCAAAAAGCAAAAACCTTACATAATGAGATTTAAAAGAAAACTTTTAAAGCCAACAAGCGACTGTGGGCAACACTTCAAAGGACCCAGAATCAATGTTTGTCAATAGCAGTTTTGCATCTTTTAATTTATCTTTCATGAATATAAAGTGTGATGTTATTAGGAGCCCATCCAGGCCTTAATTCTGTTTGAGATTTGAAGAATCAGAAATCCATCAACCTTCTCCCCCAGTCAGCAATGGAAGCCACCTTGGCATGGCCTCTCCTGGTCTGGAGTCTATTCATCCTGTGGCTGAGATGCATAGATACACCTTCAGCTCTCTGCACTGAACCCTCAAGTGCACCCAGGAGCTAGGGGGCTCTTTATCTCAGCCCCTTTCTTTGGAGACTTTTCTTCCCAGAAGAGAAACTACCCCATGACTCAGCCCAGCCCCAAAGTTACCATTTGTTTAATCAAGATAGTTGGTTTGCAAAACATTAAACAGTATTTGATGCCTAGTTAATAATTTGCATCCTCTTCATTTGTTCCTGAATCCTTGGGGACTGACATTTTTCCCCCCTCGAGGCAAAGACGACCAAAGAAACTGCATCGAGAGCCAAGCCCAGGCCTTCAACTGCCAGGATGTCGCCCAGGAGGCCTGCCCTCCATGTTCTGCTGTTAACTGTTCTTGTGGGAAAGTCAGCCGTCGGGGTAAGTGTCCTTTTCGAAGGTCTACAGTCAAGGGATCCTGAGGTTATTGGGAAGACGAAACCAGTTGTGCAGGGAGTGAGGACAGACGTTAGTTGGGAAAGGCAAACATTGCCAAATTGAGTATGTCCTGAGTCTGAGAGGCCTTGGCACGGGCTGCTAGTCCAGGGTGACATGCGTCTGACTTGAGCCCCCTGGGAGCAGAGCCTCCACGAAGCATTCCCACAAAGGAGCAGGGGGAAGAAAATCCGCTAAGGCATTGGTTGTTATCTGGCATGGATCTCGGAGGCCCTGCTGAGAGGCCACGGAGAGCCACAGACTCTCTCCCCAGAACAGTCTGCTAATGTGCTGGTGACGACACACCCAAGTTTCCTGCCTTTAGGAGCCATCGCTGGGATTGGCCCTAGAGAGGAATCCTGCTGGCTGCAATGGTCCTGGCAAAGGATTTGCTTAGATGGGTTAGATTTGGGGAGAGGCTTCGTGGTGGGTACTTTTTCTCCTTTTTCTCCATGACCACAGTGGCTGGGGCAGAGAGGATGACCAGGGGCCCGAGGGAGGTTGAAGGGTGTCAGGCAGGGAAGTCCCATCAGAGGGTCTTGGACTGGGGACTCAGAACCTTTGGGATGAGATGAGAGGTGGAGATGTTGGCCCCTGCCTGCTGTGTGCTGTTGTGGTCCCAGGGTCAGCTGGATCTCTGCAGGCAAGGGCAAGGGAGCCTTCAACAGAGGTGGACCTCCTGGGAGTTTCCTGCAGGATGTGGGCTGAGGCATGAGTGTGGCTCTGGGTCCAGGGGTGAATCTCAGCTTGGCCCCTCTGTGGGTAAGGAATGTGGGGCCAGGAACACCATCTCTCTGAGTCTCAGTGTTCTCGCCTGAGAACCAAGTGCTAATCTCTCACAGATTTGGGGAAGGTCACAATTAAATGAGGTCATAGATGAGACTTTCAGTAAATGTGAGCTCTTTTTTTACTTAAAATTTCCAGAATGAACACAGCTTCCCTATAAAAATCAGACAACATACTCCTCTGTTGGGGAGCGGGTGGAAGAGAGTGGGCAAAGGGTAAGAACTGAAGTAACAGCTGGAACCTCTGTATCTTATTAAGTACCTTTGCAGCTGACGTCCCATTTCATTCCAAAGAGTGCTTCCTGAAGGAAGCAGATTAAATTACAGGATTTCTCATTAGCGTGTTTTTTAGACAACAGCTTTGCCTCCTCCTCAGTAAACTCCGCTCAGACACCTCTCTTAGCCACATAGTCAGCTGCCAAGTGACTTTGGTTTCTTTTCAAATTATGACTCGAGCATGAGCAGTGGCTGCAATTACAGATTGCTATCAGCCCCTCTGCATCATTTGATTGCTTGTTGCCGGTCTGGGCCCAACACACGGCAGAAATCCCACAGGTCTACAGAAAGATGGTGGAAATTATCAGAGGCCCCTGAGAGGCCTAGAGAAAGTACCAGTCGGAAGGAATTAAGCCTAAAGTTTGCAGGCAAGGAGAAGGGCTGATGCAGTCTGTTTGAAGTTCACAGAAAGGATAATGGTCCCGAAAAAAATCCCTTTTTTGCAAGCCCCAGTGAATTTTTAGGGTTAGCGATGAAATTATAAGTCAATAATGGATAAAAGAGAAAATATGAGAGATAGCCTTCGGGCAATGAGCTTAGTCAATTCCAAAGAGAGGACTCGGGCTTTGGAATGTTTTCTTACCCAGATGTGTGCCAGACAGGTGGTCGAGAAGGCGGCTCAAATTCCACAGGCCAGTGCATGGGCATCCAGAGGAAAGTGGCCAAGGCACTCAGATGCTTTGGAGAGTTTGGGGCATCACTGGGGGACAGAAGCCACAGAGCCAGATGGGCTGGGTGGCCTCTCCCACTCTTGTAGTTAAAAATAATAACCAACTTTATCCTGGAAAGAGGAGTCCTGAGTGCTAGGGCTGAGGTTTCTGCAGATTAGTTCATTTCCCACAAGAATCTTAAGTAGTAGGTATCGTCCTTGGTCTCATTTTACAGATATGGAGCAGGATGACTTGGCTCCAAGTCACAGAGCTGGGAAGTGAAAGAGCTGAGCTTTAGATGACAGGCCTTGGGCCCTGGCTAAGCGTGAGACCTCTTTGGTCCTCATCACAGGATGACAATCCACTCTATAGGTACCGAGGCTCTTAGAACAGGGCCCATTGCTGGGTGGAGGGTAATGGGTTCCATATGCTGCTGAAATTCTGAAGCAACGCATTCGCAGGATCTGTGATTGCTGTCCACTGGGAAGACCTTTGGGCACTCTCCTGTGAATTGGGTCACATGGTGAACATGTGTTAACTGCTCTTTGGGATCGTCTTTAGCTTGGATTTTAACTTCAATATCTGCTCATCAAAGAGCTATAGGTCAAGTATCATTGCTGTGAATTCTGGGGCACCCTTCCCAGGCCTTCCTGATCTGGTCTAGATTGGTTTTTCCAGAATTATCAGTTTTGATCACCTAAACCCAGCATAGATGAGTGTGTGAGCCCTGCTCTCGGGTTAGAAATAAGTCCTGTGATGCTCAACTACTTTGCCAACCAGGACTGGGACACAGGCCTGTCCAACTCCTCATCCATCATGGGAGGCCCACTTGATTGTAAGAATGATGGGGACTGTCCAGAAACCTCATTCTACTATAGTTCTTGGGGTCATTTAGGGCACACTGGGCTGGTTGCAATGGGATTTGTCCTCTTGCAGGATCAGAAGCAAGAGAACAGTGCTCGTGGGCCTGTCCTGTTTATCTCAGTCCAGTCCCAGAGAGAAGCAGAGACAATGGCATTTTCTGTCCCTGACAAAGGGGTCTTCAAATTAAAATGCCTGCTTGCTCACATTTCTGGGCTTTTTAAATCCCGGAACTCTAGAATCTTCCCAGGTAGAGAGCTGCAGAAACGGCTACATCAGCCAAGGGTTGTGACTTGGCCACCCGGAGTCCATTCTGCTCACAGTCCAGGTTTTATTTGGCAGGTAGAAGGTCAGCCTGCTGAGTGCTCTAGTTTTCTTTTAGTTGCCAGGCAGCATTGGAAAATCAGAACATTTCTTAACGGACACAGATCTCTGAGTGTTTTGAAAATGAGACATTCTGGAGACACTGGACTCACATTCATACACTGCACCATGAAGGGAGGAGCAAGCGTTCTGAAGCACGAGTCTCCAGGTCCTGTGGTCCCTCCACTCTCTGTGCCCTTCCCACAGATGTGCGTGATCTGCCTGGTTCTGTCACGAGAGAGAGAGAGAGAATGAGAAAACATGCTTGTCTGGTTATTGCTCAGAGATGCTGTGGATGTCGAAGCATTGGAGCCAGACTGGGATGGCCAAGCAGCCAGGCCCAGCATCTGATTGATTCAAGCTCCCAAATCTTCATGGGCTGCAGGAACAAAATAAGGCCTTTGATGGGCAGATGTGAGCCAAAGTCTCAGCTCCCCAGAATGCCCATCTCGTTCAGAACCTAGAAGAGGCAGAAGAGGTGGCCCTTTCTCTTGGATTCCACGTACTCTTCCCAAAAAGAGAAGGATTGAATTTCACCGCAACTTCTCCTACATCTTTTTAAAAAACTGATCCGAAGCACGAGTCCAGCTCATTAGCTTTGGCAGTGTACACTGGTATTTAGGGAAATCAGGTCGCAGGAAATCACATGTGTGTATAGGCACAGACACATTTACATTCTGAATTCATTAGGGTTTCCTAAATGCAAAAGCAATTTTGCTGCCACAGAGAAACAGCATGGCAGAATACTCGGCAGCCGGGATTTTAAATAAAACATTGCTTTTTCTTCATAATTAATATAATAAGATTTCCTGGCTTAGGGCTTGGCAAAGATCCCAGGGAAGATAGTGGGGGGAGGGAGCCGGTGTGATGTGCCTGTGACCTGACAAACAAGTTCCAGGAAGACTTTGCACTGAGTGAGCGCTCCTCAATCTGCCCCTCCCCCGGGGTGCACTCAGCAATTTGCAAAAAATAATACAAATCATCATCGACATCAATGGCTAACAATGGTATCAATAACAGCAGCAATCAATTTTAAGTCTTTATCCTATGCTAAATACTGTGTGTTTTATGTTTATTATCAGACTGAGGCTTTCCAATAAGTCCAGGAGGTAGGGATTAGTGTCCCTCTCCTCTCACAGATAAGAAACCGCGCCACAGAGAAGTTCAATAATCCATTCAAGATGGCGCCCTGGCAGGTTACAGATAAACCCATCTGCCCAATGCCAGTGCTCTTAACCACTGTGGCATGGATCCTCTCACCGGACCCTGCCAAGGACTGTGGGACTGTTCAATGTGGAACCAGGGGTGTCAGACGGGGCAGTGGCCTCAGACTCCTGCTTACAGCAGGAGATCAAGTTGATCCCACCTGAAGGCTCCTCAGGGATCCTGAAGCTTTCTTTACCTCTGACCCTCGAAGGATCAAGTCTTGCCAGTTAACCAACCAGTTAGGTCAGTGTTTGTCATGAATGAATCCCATCTTGAAAATTTTTACCACAGCCCCAACTAGTTTCCCATACTTTTGTTAAACAGACTCCCCTTTTCTCTATCTATACTGACTTACTTTTTAAAGGACAGTGTCTTTACCATTAATGGAGAACCAAACAAAACACAGGGACGTGCTGAATTCTAGCTGGCTGTCCTCAGGCTAGAGCCCTGCCCTGAAGCCTGCTTCTCCTTGTCGGAGAGCAGATCAGCCAGGGATGGAGGATGGAGACGCACCAGCCACCCGAGTCTCTCCCTGAGGTGGACCTGGGATGGTTGACAGTAACTTGAGACTTGTTCAGACTGCATTTCAGTGTCATTTCATACCCTGGCCAGGCACCACCTAAATCAACTCAGGGACCAGCCACGGGTCACCTGCTACAGAGTGGAAGACAGCTTTGGTGGTGGAGCTGGTGTCCAGCAGTGGGCACTTACTTTGCTGAAGCCCTGGGTGGTTTGCTGAAGTTACCTGGCCAAGCAGGTTAACGTGAGGGCTCCTGTCCGTGGAGGACCCAGACTTGGCCTACTC